CACAATCACGACAGCATTGTTGTCTGTTCCGTGTAGACTAGTGTGCGGATGATTTTGATGCAGAGCCCATTCGTGTTACCAGCAGGCAGATACCGACGCAACAAAGACATTGCAATGGTTTATTCTAAGATGCCCAGCAATTGCGTACATCTACCAAGGTCAAAGCTGATCGTTCTTAAAGACCGCTGAGGGCACTGCCGAGCTACGCAGCTGAGGGGCGGAGGGAAGTCCCCCCATCCTAAATTTTGAAATTTGTCACCAGTTCTCGCCAAGCTATGCCTTACTAAATGAGACACAAAATAACGTAACTACATGTTTCATGTTGAAATGCATGATATCTAAAAACCGCAACTATCATGTCGTGCATTAGTGCATATGAGACAAAGTTGCATGACAATTTACTCAACCTGTTTGTACAGCCCAATCATCAAAAGCGATGTTTTCGTAATTACTTCATTTAACAAGGTATCACAAGTGCAGGTCTCTCACCTCCTAAAACGATCTCAATACACTGAATCTTGAACAAAACCCATACAATGTTGGTGCCACCAAATGGAGATTTTTTCAATGCCTCTTGCACCCTCACTTATCTTCACGTACCTTCTACTGACAAATAACGTTTTACCGTAACTCAGTCAGTTCTGTCCAGATAGCTCAGCTGGTTAGAACGCATGCCTTTTGATTCAAAGGCTTGTGGCGAGATAAGTTCAAACTGCTTTAAACATTCCCTATTTTCCCCTGACTGAAAAAACCTGTGCCAGTGGCAGCAGGCATTGCCTCGCGTTAAAGCAAATATTCCACAATCTACCAATATCTAAAAAGGTTCGCTTTTAATTTCAACATCAAGAACGCAAACTCAAGCAGCCAAAATCCGGGGAGAAATCAAATTTGGGGTTAGCTTAGCCAAACCATTCTGGCTACCTCTCCCCCCCCCCCGACCCGATTTTAGAAAGTGACATCCCTGACTCACCGGCACCGTTCAAGCGGGGCCCAGTGTCAGTGGCCTTCCTGAACACAGATTTACCTAAAAGGATGTCATGAGAGGCATCAATGTGGGCATCAAGGAACGGCATGCTATTGTTTTCAGATGGCACTACGGTGAATTGGAGAACTAAGTGATTTTCAAGTTTTGCTTTAAGGGAGAAGAGCTGTTGTTCGCTTTGTATACCCACAAAAAACGCCTTCAGCATATCTGCAGTACGTGTAGGTTTTGATATCATGCTGTTGATCGTCATGGGTTCAATACGTGCCATATAGTCCTCCGCGAAGGGCATGTCAAGCGGTGAGACCACACACCGCCACACCGTCGTCTTAACGGTACGGCTGTCCTTAAGGGCAGCGGCAAGGCGTCTGCTTGGTGACGATTTCAAACATTTTTCTGAGGACCTCTTTAGGAAGGCGCAGTGCTGGTATGGAATCGTATTCATGGACATCCTGCAAGATATTCTGGATCGCTGTATCAACCGGTTATTAGTAAAAAAGGGGCAATGCGTCCAATAAAGATAGGGCACCGTCTCTCTCTCCCTCCCTCTCTCTCTCTCTCTCTCTCTCTCCCTCTTCTCTCTCCTCTCTATTTTCTCTCTCTCTCTCCTCCCTCTCCCTCTTCTCCTCCTCTCTCTCTTCCCTCCCCTCCCTCCCTCCCTCCCTCCCTCCTCTCCCTCCCTCCCTCCCTCCCTCTCTCTCTCTCTCTCTCTCTCGCTCTCCCTTACCCTAAAGACCTTTACGAATTAATCAGACGACATCATAGAGTAACTTTTTACAACACATGGAGAACAGAGATTTAAAATGAATGTTCGACATTTGAAGATACTAAAGCAAGCACCAGATATGATAGAATAAGCTCATTTATGACTTTTGGCATACTTTTGAGTGGAAAAGACTGTTCTAGGCAACGCAATCTCTCCGTCATTGTTAGACTGCGCCATTTTACCTTGCACAACATTGATTGATTGCCACTTGACGGCTGTTATACCTGAAAATCTTGTTCGCTTGATACCATCGACACGACAGTTATATTTCTCTTGGTCTTGATCGCCGCATGGCTAATGGAATGGCATGATTTGAATGACGTTATGACGTCATGGATGCCTAGGTGATCTTGAAACAGTCTGCCCGACAAGGTCTGCACGTCTTCGCAGGTGTGTAGCTCAGAAACTAGAAAGGTTGAAACTAGAAGGGTAGGCCTTAAGAAGGGCAGGGTAGCGAATTGCAACGAGAGCTCTCCAAGATGGCTACTTCGGCTCAAAACCCCATATGAATGTGGAACACTCCCTTCAAAGATAATGTGACTCTCCAACATGCAGTGAACGGTTAAGAAGTGAAGTCAAGCAAGTCATTACTTACCAATTACTACCTACGAAAAAGGCGACGGGGCCCACTCGTGGAACGTCAGAACTCTTTTTGCAAGGCTTTTTATGAACGTGACTCCACGCGGCGTGTCACATGCTACATCACGAGGGTTATTTTGGAGGTAACTTGCAGGAACTCACACCCCTGGGGGTATCCTAACTCGCAACGAGAGTCAAGTGGGGAGTGGGGAGTCAAGGTCATTATGGGGAGTCAAGGGTGGCTGGAAAGCATCGTTGAGAAGCACATACTTGCCGTAGGATTGGACGTTTTTTCAATACTATTCAGTTCGCTGGAGGATCGTCAAAACTTTTTCCAGTGAAGCGTGCCTGTACCCCAGAGGCAGTCCACAAACAGCAAATATATGCCGTGGCATGATCTGGTATGACAGGTTAGCCTTGTGAGTCATCTGGCAACTACGAATACTTGAGTTCCAGGCCACGTACGTGGCTGCACGTGGCATACAGTCACTTTATGTACTTTTGAGGGGTCCTGAGCTCCCAATGCATACCTGAGCCTCTCCCAATGCCCTTCTAAGGCACCTTGTTGCAAAAGGGCAAACATGTACGGGGCTAAATAAATGCAAAACATTATCTCAGTTATTTTTATCTCTCATCTCAATCATCAATTATCTTATATATTATCATTTTTCATACCCATTATCTTACCTTATCTCTTATCAATTAACATATATCTCAATTACTGATATTTTAGTTTGGAGTCACCAAAACACATCACTGCTTTCAATGTTAATCCTGTACTAAATAGTATCCTGTAGGCGAGTAGGTGCATGTGTAGGTCTTATCGGTTTGGAAACAGGCGAATGAATCATTGTTAAGTCTGAGCTTCGGTGATTTATTTGATGCAGTCGTCCAGCGCCTGCTTTCTGCAGCTTATTGGCTTCAAATTATAAACAGAATTCAGCTCGCGGTAGCTTTCAGTTTCTGTTTATGTTGTGTTCACAGTGTAAAAATAGCAATGAGACGAAAAAGCGTCCCTTGTTAACAGGCGAGCTATATCCGGCGAATTTTTGTTCGAGAGAAGGGTCACAATCGGGAGAGCAAGGCTTTTGTCAACTCCGTGCCGTTCCCTTAGCAAGATTCTGGCTATGCCCTTTTGCCATTTTTTTTTTGCGTGCAAACTCTTCTTCATACAAAAGCAGATCAAGTCGGCTACGTTGAATAGGAGGTAACTAGATGTCCTTTGGACCAATTCATGCCTTAGACAGGCATCTTCCCCAAGGCTTCTTTCCGCGGTGGTGTGATGTGAGGGAAGATATTTCGGCAAACGATACTTCTGCAGTCGTCCATCATATTCTTTACACACCAATGTGTTTTACACACCTGATCTAGAAATTTGCAGCAAACAGCGATACCATTACTTCGCAGTGAGTCATATGAGGGACGGCCGGATCAGGGCACTGGCCGCCGACCGCGGACGGGGACAGGGCTCAGATAAGGAAAATACGACAGAAAGGTGTTCATTCTGCGACTCATTTGTACAGGAGAAACTCCAGTTTAATGGCGTTTCTCGCCTTTTTTGGCAGTTAGTGTTTGAAGGCTCGGAATTGGTTTCCGCCTAAAATGCTGCGACACATTTTGTCTCTTAAAAAGCAACCGGCGAAATCTAGGCGCATGAAACTCTGGCGCGTTATTGGGCATGAGTTCGCACTCAATCTTCTGTCCAGCCTGTGTCATGGTCGTATTTTTGACATTTAGCCTGTGGAGGCAGATACCTCCTCAGTGACCCAAAATCCCACCCGCTCGTGGAATGTCGCCTCCCCAGAGAAAAATAATATCGAAATGGATGAATAATCTTGGGAAACTGGATAGCCACGTGTGCCAAATGACATACATGAGTCGAATATTCAAGGTTGTGTACCAGTGAGAAACAGCCGAGGATGTATGTCTAGCATAGGAACCACGGCATTTAGCTATTTCCAAAACGTATTATGTGAATTACGAAGGGACAACAACCTCCATCACTAACCCCCAACTCTCGGTCACCGGGCTTGCTTCCCAGCAAAAGTTTCTGAAGCACACCCTGAGTCGGCTCTCTCCCCCTCCCGCCCCCCACACTTTTTAACACGTTCCTTCGCCCATGGGCCTGTCATGGGCCTGTCTATACGCTGCAACATGTGTCGAAACACTGTAGGCTGTTCGGGACTCCACTGCCATATAACCGACCCCAAATCATTGCATGGTTAAATCTGATTTCCAAACAGTTCTTAGCGGGCTCAAAATTTTCGTGGCAAAAGGAATGACACGGCACATAATGCTTACCAAAACTGCCACATGGCGACGCTACTATCGCCATTCCATCCTAGTTTTGCTTTTCCAACTGATCGAGACTCATTTGTTTGGTCATATTCGCTATAACAGTTTTCCAATTGCCGACAAGTTTTCACGAATGTATCCTGCTCTGTGACTGACGAAATCCCTACCACTCACGCCTTATCCTGCCACCTATTATGTGAAAGGCAAACGCCTGGGAACTCCGGGGGCTCCCAGTGGCGCCACCTGGAGCGGCGCATGCGCACCGGCCGCCGCCGCACCATCGATCCCGGGCGTGGCGTGACGTCACGTCTGCCCGGCCGGCAGCTGGTCACCATGGTAACGACGGGCGCGGGGCGCCGTCGGCGGGCGGCGGCGGTAGTCGATCGAGCTCGCGCGGCGGAGGGGCGGCCCCGGGCGGACTGGGCGCGGTCTATGGGCCGGCGGAGCGACGCCTCGTGACCCCCTGCGGTGCGTGACCAGCGTGTGACCCGTGAGTGACCCGGCGGCCGCGCGTGACCCGAGACACCCCGCCACGATGGGGTGCGCGCTGTCGGCCGACGAGCGGGCCGCCATGGCCCGCAGCAAGCTGATCGAGAAGAACCTGAAAGAGGACGGCCTGCAGGCGGCCAAGGACATCAAGCTGCTGCTGCTCGGTGAGCTTTCTCGCATGGTGCCGTGCCTCGCCGCACCGATCGGGGACCCCGTCGTTGGCGACGCCCGTCGGCCGGGCAGAGACGGGTCGATGGTCCATGGCACGTCGACGGGTCGGCGTGTAAACAGGCGCGGCGGTGGCGGCGGCGGCAGCGGGGGCGGCCGCTGGCCGCTGGCCGCCCGCCAGCGCCGGCGGCGCCGCCCCGGGCCGTTTGTGACCCGCCATAACAGCTTATGAGACGGCCGGCAGCCCGCTAGGGACGGGGATGAAGGGGGCACGTTCAGGCGTGTTTGACGCAGGCACTTGCGGCCGAGGGAAGGGGAGGAGCTCGCGCCGGTGCTGGCTCCGACAGCGGGTCGTCGCAGCGTCGTCGGTGGCGTCCGACTTGGCAGGGATGGGCCCCGAGCTCAGTTGCCGGGCACAAGGAGCGAACGGGTCAGCCAATGGTGCAGAACTGGGGACGGGCCCGAGAGGAGGTTCCGATTGTGTGCCGGCGGAGGGGAGGGGGAGGAGGGGGAGAGGCAACGAGCCGGCGGAGCTGACGGGGAGGCGGGAGAGAAGGAGAAAGGCCCGCTCCCATGCCCAGCGCGAGGTCGATAACAGCGACCCGCAAGAGACCGCAGCCAAGTACCTCATCAGCGGACCCGACTGGACCCAACGCCTCGTCGCGAGAGACCGGTCCGCGCCCGACGCGGCCGCAGAGCCGTCCCCGTCCCACAGATCAAAGGTCTCCGCATCCGCCCGACATCCCGGCCAATCAGAACCGACGTATGCCCCCGTCGGCAGCGTCAGCAACATGTCCATCATCCGTCTCCAAAATCCGGCGGCGGGACGTGTCAGCGGACCTCCAGCCTGACCGGATCCGGCTCCTGGCAGCACCCCCTTCCCCTCCCCCCTGGCGGAGAGGTTTCGCTGTCAGCAGGACATCGGCGCCTAATTGGCCTGTCCGGACGCGGTGACGCAGTCGCGACGCCTCGCGACCCCTCCTGCAGCGTCCTGTGGCTCGCCAACTCAGCAGGAGCCGTGCGACCCATCTGCATAGAGCGCCGGCTCTTGGCGCGAGTCCGGCAGGAGCTCCGCCTTCGGCGCCCGGCAACAGCTGGGCTTCTCGGCTAAACTAGGTGCTCGCTCCGGCTGTCGAACCGGCAACACGGAAATCGTTCCGCCAATCGCCTGGCAAACGCTGCGTGAAATCCGCGTTTCGGCGTTGTGGCCGGCGGCGGTGCTCATCGCCGGGCTGTTGAGGGGCTGGCGTCGGCTGTTGGCAAAGCCGACGGCGGGCTTCGTGTGGCGGCTTAACAGTGCGACATTTCTGCGTGATCTGTCGGTAGTGGTTTGGTCTGAGCTCTGCTGACCTGCCTCGGTGCCTGCTTGACTAAACTCGGCGTGGAAAGCCGACCGTCTCTGGATTCAGTCTGCAGCCACTCCTGCAGCACCTGGCCGTGGGAAGTTTTATTGATCTTCAGGTATCAGCTATGAGGCGCATGTGAAGGCGGTGTTAGCCCGGGCTCCGTAATTGCCAAGGTTTTTTATCGCCAAGGTTTTTTATTTATCGCCACGACTTTGTACGTCCCATCCCTGATTTCCGTCGTCGCTTTTCGAGTGTTGCCTAATGGTTTCAAACGCCGGAGACTACCTCACGCATTTTGGAAGCATGCCATAACTCTACGGACTCGCCGTTGTCCATGATTTTCTCTGGCACCAAGCCCAGGTCGCAAATCTTTTCTCCAAACGCGGTCGCTGCCATCAAGAAAACGCCATCAGCAGCGACGTCAGATGCCGCTGCCAGTCGGAGCCTGACGGGGCTTTGCTATCTCTGGAGCCGGCGTGGGCGTCGAGCGGGCGTCCGAGAACGGAAACGCCTCTCCCCGCCGCCGCTGGCCGCCCCAGGCAGTCTGGGTGACCGGCCGTCACAGGACGTGACATCACCGGTGCTGAGATAGGCGCCTGCCCGTCCACCAGGCGTGCTGAGACAATGGGCAGGCGAGACGACCTCCGGCCGGCGCTGGTGCGGCCCGCGCTCGTTCTGCACCCGTCCCGCACCCAGCTGGCACCCGTCCCGCACCCAGCGCTGGCTGCTGGGCCAGCGGACGGCGGTGAACAGTCAGCAGGGAAGGCGTGGATTAGCAGGCCACGGCTGCTGGGAGGCAGGACAGGAGAGTGGGATAATGAGCGCTCTGCGCATGCGTGCACAGACGACACGAGGCGGATCAGACTTGTCTGGGTGCGCACGCCTGGGTGCAGATCGAGGTCAAAGCAAGCATCACTGTTGCCTCTCCGTAGTGTACCGTTTACACAGCTACGAAAACAATGGCGCGCCCCGCGATGTTATAGGGAGCAGCTGAGCAACGGTTAAGGGACGCGCCGGCAGGGCGGCCTACGTGGTCAATGTTTGGCGTCATATGTAGGACAATATGATATGACTTCATGTGGGGCGGGTCCATCAGACATACAAACTGTTCCTTCGAGTGGTCGGGTAGCGATTACTTACATATGTACTGGGGGGGGGGGAGGGGCATTTCTGTCAGCAAGCACGATCGTAGCCGAGGAGAGTGGGGCTCGTCATGGCTGCGACCATTTTGACTCCTCACCTCCGATGTTCACCACACAGCGGAAGTGGAATGTGACCAGTGCCACCCAGTCGGCACTGGGGGTTCGTATGGGCTGAGCTTTTAGCGAAGGCCCAGGCAGGGTTCAGGCCAGACAGGTCCCTCGTTTGTAGGCGTTGGTCGTCGTGGCGATTTTTTTTTTTGCAATGAGCGGCATTTGTTCCGCCCGTGCAAACTACAGCATCGCGTCGCCAGACGCACCTCATGTTGCCTCCCGCACACAGTGAGTGCAGGCTGCTTACATCGACGTTGCGCCGCCCCGGCTGTGTATGTTTGGACAACTGGGAGACCACACGCGATGGTGTACGACCTCTAGTGGGAAGGAAGTTCGTGGAATCCCTGACGTGTTTACCGTGCTGCTCGTAAAGGTGTGATGAGACGGAAGTTCAGAATAGCGCGGGTATCGGTGCATCCACCTATCCACGGCCATCCGAGGATCTGCTGAGTGAAGGAGCCTGTAGCAATGTCTCACGTAAGGTGATATGACGGGTAAACAAAACAACTTAGCCATTCATTGAGAAGACAATATTTCGTGATTCAAGCTCAACATAGACGACAAAAGTCAAAACGAAAAGTGAGATTTTGGATGATGCTAGCGTTGGTGCTAGCGCATAACTTCATCAATGTCTAAAACATGTCTGATGTGCCCCAGCGTTTTCGTACCGCTCCGACACCATTGTATGTGCATTTCGTTGTTCAATTAAACTACGCGGAAAGACCAAAACGCGCGGAGAATATACATAAACGTGTCCTTAAAAGCACGTTCCAAATATTTGCGCCATAAACCGGACATGCTTTTGCTGCCTGTCCGTTTGGTATCAGGCTTATGACATCCTTTGACGTCATATCAATGATAATCTGTCTATTAACGATTTGTGTGTGCACTAGGCTTCCATTGAACCCAAGCTGTGAGCACATTCGTTTCCCCAGCATCGGTCGTTATCGTCGGCTCGTCGTCTGGTCTGCGGCGCAGCATCTGGTCTTCCGTTGGCGAATCTGGCGCATCTCAGGGGCGATATCATGAAAAGGCGCTTGGATCCCTTGCATTTAAAATGGAACGAAGACCGACACGAAAAACCGATGGTACATCGGCTTTGATCTTGGTTTGACCTTCATCCCATCTTTACGGCTTTTTCTCGCAGCCGGAAGGCTCCGGTGACCGACTTAAAAGTAGGTCAAAGTTAAGAGGCGGAAAGCTGGCAGGATTATAAGTGAGCAGAGATAACGGCGGGGTATCAGATTTCCTCGCTGAGTTGCTTTGTGGGATTTCTGTAAGCTTACCGGTTCTCTCAGATCACCCACTTGGGTGTGCTAACTTTGAGTCAATTTTAATCTTCAGCATGCATTTCCTTTTCGCCTCATATTAAGGTCTGGCGTATCTGACTTGGCCGCTCTCCCGAGCCAAGGCTCTAGCTGCTCGAACATGTTGCACAGCCGTCCCATCGTGCTTCAAAATTGTGTGATTAATGATACACGCTCGACGAAACGCCCACTGAGTTTCCTTCCCACGTGCGTGCGCTCAACTACGCCCCCGCGCGAACCCAGAGCTCAACAAAACATTCAATCTTCCCGGAATCTAGGCCACACTGGCGCCGTTTTATACGGCAAAATAAAACCAAAACTGACTCCGCGGTCCCTAGCGTCACTGGGCCTGAAGACCGCCGACCCGAGCGAGGGTTGCGCATGCGCACGGAGCTTCTCACCAGCACCTATGCATGCACTGTCAGAGGCCGCTGCGCGGAGACGAAGTCATCTGCACGACGTCTCTGCCGGTGCGCTGACGCCTCTTTGCTGACTCTACCTCGTGACCCAGTTTCTGGCGGCGCCGCTAGGTGTATCGAGCGCGGTTCGGTTTCTTTCGCAGCCGGCGTCAACAAACACTCACCTGGCACTGGCGGGCTCCCTGTCCTTCCCCTCCCGCCTGGGGTGCTGTAGCAGCTGCTAACAGCGGCGGTCTGTTCAAAACATCGACGGGGACAAAGGGGGCAGAAGGCGCCGGGAGACACGGGTACGTCCAAGGGTAGGGACCATATCCGTGTCTGATGTGTAGGGTCTCTAAGAGTAGGCGACCGCACACCTCACCCAAGGGGAGGTGTGGGGTGCCCCCCTCCCCTCATTCGGTAACCTCACATGAGCTATTCGCAGTCTGGATCGGAAACACATAAATTGCAATGGTAAGAAAACTCGCCTCGTGTCCTGAAGAATAAGGACAATAGTTCACCAAGCTGTGCAAAAGCTAGCAGCCCTCTCAACGCCCGTAGCTTCGTCAATATCTGATCCAAAAATTCCTACACCGAAAAAGGTGGCACAAATTGGGTAGATCTTAAATTTCTTCTTTGGTTATGTTTCGTCAGGATTGCGTTTTATCTATCTGTAGGTAAATTATGGTATC